TTTGCAACCCAGCTCTATGCCAGCTCCTTGTTTTTCATGCTGTGTCTGATGCATTCATTGTTGGTGATCACTGATTTGTTCTGTGCGTTATGCTATCCTGCAAACCTATCAAAGAAGAATCCGTCGATATATAAACCCACAACATTCATCACCATATGTTTCAGTATAAGCATACTGCAAGAGTGTGTGAGTGGGTGCATAGGCAGTTTTGCCTATGTGTGAACAGAAAATCCACGAACTTAAACAAACGTCTCAGCACTTTTACAAAGCTTGAAATTTGTCACCCCCAAGAAGAAGCCTCAGTCTGGTTGATCCCATCTGAAAATCTGTGTCAGCAATATTCCAGCTTGTTTCCAGCATGCGGCTGCTCATATTTGGATCATTTGAGCCTGAGAGAGAAAACACAAGCGTCTCTGTCTTGACCACCGTTATACACTCTGAGAGGTCTTTCAGGTGTACTCTGTGCTGCGTAATGCTTCTAGCTGAAAGTCTTCCCTCACAGAGGCAGTAAATGAACTGAAACAAGCCACAAGCGAGGGTTTGACAAAGACGCACAGACAAATTACACATGAACAAATACAAAAACAACCATTTTAGGTGAACACGAATCTCTGGTTAAGTTAACTCATAAAACAAATTGACCAAATTCCTCATGCTCCTAAGAACAAAAGGGACATTCATGCCACATTTAGATATTGTATAAGCTGGCAAGCAACAGGATATCACAACAATTTAAAAAGTAATGTTACTGATTTTTGTGCGTGAGCAGATACAAGAACACGCATTCTCTTTACCACCCAAACTGTGAAAACACGCTGTGTGTTTCTGGAGACTCTTATGTGCTTTTATTACAGTTAGCTCGACACATAAAGCCCGTACTGTACATTCAAAACTTTAACAACCTCAGTGAAATTTCAGACAAATGAAACAATAATTTCTTTACTTTTTGCCACAGTAAAAACACAAAAGTGTCTCACTTTCTGCAGCTTCCACAAGAACAATGTTCTGACCTTAAAGCAAAGAATCAGAGCATTGACTAAAAATCTGTTAAAACCTCTTAAAAGAAACAGTTTCAGGAAATATCCAAACACCAGACTGTAGGTGCAAACGCCATCTTCCATATTCTCACCATGTGATAATCTCAGACACATTAATCTCACAACAATCGCTTGTGTTATTTGTTCTTTTTTGCTGTGTTCAGCCAACAAAACATGCACTCAAGTCATGGCTTTATACTTATGAGATGTTAGAATTGGCAAAACGAGTAAAAAGAAAGTGAATCAACACAAATGTGAGCATGGTGTTTAGCAGCACTGTTGCCTCACAGCAAGAAGGTCCTGAGTTCAACTCCACCAGCTGGCCGGAGCCTTTCTGTGTGGAGTTTCTCCCTGTGTTTGCATGGGTTCCCTTCGGGTACTCTAGCATCCTCCTACAATCCAAAGACCTGTAATTAATGAAGTTAGGTTAATTGGTCCTTCTAAATGGCCCAAAGGTGCAAATGATTGTCTGTGTTAACCCTGCAACAGGTTGACGAACTGTCCAGGGTGTAACCCCACCTATCACCCTATGGTAGCTGGGATAGGCTCCAGCCTCTCCCGTGACCCTGATAAGGAAGAGAATAGATGGATGGTTTTCAAGATTTGACTTTGATTTGACTCTCTCACACTGGTAACCTGTGACTGCAGCTGCTGCAGAGCTTGTCTTACATCTGCTTTTACAAGAACAACAGCAATGAAGACTTGGTCATTTATACAACCCGATATGTTTCGTACATTTCAGCTGTGGACAGTATACAAGAATAATGCAGCTTCTGAGTGTAAAAGCTTAAGGTAAAGACATACAATAATACAGTGAAAACTCCAGCAATCGGACACCCCCTAAGAGTAATCACTTGGCGACAGTGGGAAAGAAGAACTTCCTGTTAACAGGTATTTTCTTACTGATTATATCAAACCCTTAATATATTATTGTTGGAATTCTGCCAGATAATCCTTCTTGTTTCAGAGAAATGTGGGACACTAGTTGTTTCACAATATCATTAAAAAAAACTAGACATAGCAGCTTTTGTCTTATGGTTTGAGCTAATGTTCCTTTGCCTGACATTTTTCACTTGTGGAGCATCTGTAGAGGTTGGCTCACTAGCACTCTTGGCCGCTTTTACCATGAGAAAGGAAAAGTCATACTCACAAATCACTACAAGTCAGTCTGGGATAAGAAAATAAGGGAGTTACTTCTGGCTCTTGGTGGGATGGGGGGCTTCCATGTGGCAAAACTGAACAGTAGTGAAATAAATGAGCAAACATTTTTCCTAAAATGCATGTGGAGTGGCACCTTTTAGTATTACACAATTCCCAGTCACTAGCTGCTTGTTTATCTTTGTAGCTTGTTTATCTACCATTGTAGGCAAATTTGGAATTCCCAGAACTTCTGACTTAGAAAAGACTTCAGCAGCTTATGTTGAAGTATGTTTGCACAACAGCTTTCCAGTAGAGCTAGTAGGCTGCCAGTATTAGAAAATGTTGTTGAGCTATATATCTTTAAATGGGGGGGAAATGTGGATAAAAAACATTGCGCATCACAAGGCAAACTTTCCCTGAATATAAAAAGCTGCAACATAAACCTATAAAATATATTGTGAGGCATCTCTATTTTTGCACTGCTCTTTTTAATATGTCAGCATTCAGCAGCTAATTCATATGAATGATGGCGAGTAAACATGATGCCTCTATTTCATCTGTGTGCTGAACAAACAGAGTCTGCAAATAAGTGCAAAATTAGAGCAAATCAGCTGTTAATAAATTCTCCTTTGAAGATGTATATGGTAAGCGTGTGTCAGTGAGTGCAGGGAACACACAGCCAGTATTTACGGCTCTGAATAGCGTTTGGTGGGAGACGAATGGCAGGCACACCTTTCCTCAACCTCAGACCAACATTAGCATGTTTAACTTGAAACCAAATGGACGCAGACACCAGCGGCACACACAGTATATACTGTGTGCATTCATGCATACATGGAAACACACATTCACAGTTTATGATTTGTTTTTTTTCCTTTTATCAGAAACCTCGCAAACACCTGTTACTGTTACCAAATATACTATTTAACCTTTCTAGCATTATTACAGAGAATATTCATACATAAGGTTGTTTTAACAACTGATTTGTTAACCCTGTCATGGTTTTTGAGTATGTTTGGCCTTGGTATTCATTCAAGGGAGTTTTATGTTTCTCTACGATGTTTCTGTACCCTTCTTCATGTCCAGGCTGTATTTGTCTTTTCTCTGTGTTCTGTCTTCAGTGTTGTCTTTCTGATCTCTCTGATTTTTCCTTTTGTCTTCTCAGTCTGTCATGTCTGTTCATTCCCTAGTACCAGTGTCAAATTCACGTGTCTCTGCCTCAGTCTTGGTGTGCGTTACTTCCCGCTTTATTTTGTACGTCCCCTGTCTTGTATGCATATGTTCAATTTTGCTTCCCCGGCCTCGTTAGTCAGATTTAGTTCGTCTGTGTTCCCTGGTGTGTTATCTGATGTGTCTGTTTGAGCCCTCAGTCAGTCAGCCTGCCTACCTGCATATCCATCTGTCCATCCATCCATCTGTCCGTCCTCCACTCATTCACTTACATTTTTTCCCTTCTCATCTTCAGTTTTTTCACTAGTTTTCCTTTTGGCTGATTCAAGAGGATAAAAACTCCTCTTGAGCCTCTCTGTTTTTGTTCGGATGGTGCGGAAACCTTCTGCCTGATTTCAGAAGCTGGAAGTTTGTTGCTGGGATGTGACGGGTCCTTAAAAGCCTGAGTTGCTTTAGTCCAGTACCTCCTGATGTAAATGTCCTGTAGGGAAGGGAGAGCAGTCCTGCAGCAGCGTTCTGCCATACGGATCACTCTCTGGAGAGCTTTTTTATCCTTGACACAGCTGTTTCCATACCAGGATGTGATGTTCTGTGTGAGGATGTTCTCCACAGCGCCTGTATAGACTTCTACAGGCTGCCAGTCTTGAGACCCACTTGAAGCACTTTTGACTCAAAGTCACAGTTAATCATTCACTCGGATATAATACCAGAAGTTCTCACCTTAAACACAGCTGATTGTTCACCTTAACAATCAGCTGGACTGGCCACATAACGCTCATGCTCAGTATAAGAAGGGCCAAAGTCGGCTCTATCTGCTGGGCTGGCTGAGATCTTTTGGGTGTTCACAGTGATGGCTTCTGTTATCTTTTATGCAGTTGTTTGCTGGCAGAGGTAGGAAGTAATAAAGTACAAATACCTTGTTACTGTACTTGTAGAATTTTCAGATATCTGTACTTTACTTGAGTATTTACCTATGCAAAAGGTAAAGATAAAAATAGATGGTACAATTCTCCTTGGAGTAGCTACTTATTACTTATAAGTAATAAGTATTACTTACTTATTACAGATGGACAGGAAACAGCTTAATACACTGTTAGAGGGCCAGCTCTGGCCTGTCCAGTCCCCTAGACCCCACAGAGGAGGTGGGTGAGAGGAGGACGTCAGCCAAGTGAATGCCCATTATGGACAACACCTCCCAACCCCAGCACTATTGTAAGTCCTTCATCCTGATAGCAGCCAGACGGTACCATTATCCACACAGGAAAAATGCCACTACACTTTATGTACATAAAATCATATTATTTTTTGCACACGATTTGTTTTCTTAATTTCTTTTCGATTTTTATTTTTCTAATATATCTCTAACAAGTGAATTTCCCCAGTGTGGGATTAAATAAAGCTTGTTTATTCATATAGTGATTTATTCTATACATTTTGAGCACACACACACACACACACTCAGTGCTAATCTGACACTGACCAGACTGATGACTGATTTACTTCTTCAGCTTTGATATTCAAGGCTGTTTGCATGACCTCACCAACTGGCAGGAGGATCCCACATCTCTCTCTCTCCACTCCTTTCCCTCCCTCACTCTTTCCAACATCTAAATGTGTGGCAGAATTTGAATAGAGCTTCTTTCTGCACTCCTACACAGGCAGGAGCGAGAGGCCCCTGTAGTCGCTGGCACTGGGAGCATTGCAGCATCAACGGTACGTTTTACAACTCACCACTGGATGCTCTAGCGAGGAATTTTGTAAAGAGGTTTCAGGGGATACTTTGACATATCCTCCTCTGCTTTGGGGGGACAGGTATTGATTCACGTACTCTGATGCCTAACCGAAGGTAACTTTCTGATTTTTTCTTTCAGTAGTTTTCTCAACTAGTTTGTTGATAATAACTACTATGACAGTGATGTAGATGACTACCCACTACAGTGGGCACAAAAGGTAATGCTAACGTGATTTTGGTCAGTATTTCATCTTGATGTGACAGAAGTTTGGAGACTTCTGTGGGGTGTTCAGTCAATTTCTCTTAAATCTGAGTGATTTTTTTATGCTTATTTGTCATTTTTAATTCCATTAAACTTTATTACATTGTTGAAGAATGTTTTAAAATCATATTTACATGTTTATACAGTAGTGAGTAATATTTTAATTGTTTGCAGTATGGGACCCATCACACACTGTATCATGAAGTGTACTAGGCTGCCGATCAGTGTCAGAGTCAGTGTCAGCTCTCTTTGTGAGTCAGGAAAACCTAAATATTGTGCTCGCTTGTTGTTTTCAGTCATCATTTAGCCCAGTGGTGTTACAGTCGGTGGCTTGGGGGGGGGGGGGGTTTATCATGTAATAAACTAGGGGCTTAAAATAAATTGATTCAACTATACCTATCCAGGGTTCAACAGTGATATTGGCCCAAAGTATCATTTAATAAAATACTAAAACGCACTGCAGCACTCCTTGTCTAAGCCCTTATATAACATAATATATTGTTAAACAAGGTTTTATTTTTTTATTTTTTTTTACTAGAGTTTTGGGTCTCTGCGGTCTCAAGCACAAAATATGTGAAGGATTGTGTACAATTTTTCTAAAATTCCTCTTTCATTCAAACTCTTTGTGGAGCTGTTGATAAGAAAACCGCTCTGTGTTTGGTTATTGGTATTCCTTTCCCCTGGGATAACACTTATAGGTTTATATAGGACATTAGTGTTGTAGAGCGACATCCTGTTACTATGGTTACACCAGGCTGCATGAGTGCATGTTTTGAATTGTAATTCCCAGATGTCGAGATGAAAAAACAATTGACAAAGAGTTCATTTAAAGCAAACACCTTTACACTCTGCATTATTAAACAGCAACTTACATTTGAGACTTTGGAGTTTCTTCCTGATGTCAGTCTGTCTGTATATGTGTCTACTTGTGCATATATATGTGTGTGTGTGAAAATATCACGCATTTAACTATTTCTTATCTCTTAAACTGGTGACTACGTAAACATGTATTAATGCATCCAGAAACATCTGAGAATCTTTTTTTTTAGCTCCCCGCACTTTTCACTGAGCAAGAGTCGGTGTGTGTGTTCTCAAACACAGGCCTTACAGTACGTATCCATAGGTGCACACACTCCCGTGCTTTTTCTGTACCAGGGGCATCAGACGTGTACTCCAACACATCCCCTCAGTGATCTGTGAGTGTTGCTCAGTGTTTCTGTGTGTGCTGTCATATCAATGTCGACTCTGTTCTCCTGCCGTAGGGCTAGAGAAGAGTGGGTGGAGGGTGACGTTGTGGTGGTGGTTTTGCGGGGAGGGGGCTTCCCTTGTGTTTACCTTGGCAGGGTTGTGAATATTAAGGCCCCGCCTCTGTCCGTTGATGGAACAGACCAAGGCCTTATTGCCCTCCACCCCAGCTGGGAGCAGAACATACCACAGCGGTTGTACAGGGGCGCTGCAGCCACCCCACTGACTGAATGGGCACTCTGTGGTGGAGGGAGGAATGACTCGTTTGACCTGGGCTGGCAAAGTTTGCTCACAAATGTGCCACAGTTTAAATGATGCATTTAAAGGGCGCATTAAGATCTGCTGAGAGATTGGGTACTAAGCAACAGAGAGGCAAGGTTTAGGCTGGTTTGGCTAGAGAAATGGGCAAAGACTTTGCTGGCTTTCTCTGTGCCGATCCATTGTGAGAGTTTGTCAATTGTTGGCTGCTTTTGGCTAGTTTCGTGCAGTGCTGGAAAGACCACCCTGACTGTAACAAAGATGTGATATGCAATAAGATTCAGTGCTCATTCATCTAAAGAGTTATACTCTCATCAAGAACTCTCGTGACAAGAATAAAACTTCATCCTTCATCCAGCTTGATCCTTTCTTGTATTTCCTGTCATATATACATTGTGAGAATGGTGGATGCCAACATTCCAGACAGTGAAGCCAGTTTATGCTCCCTGCTAATCCCTGCAAATCAAAAGTTAAGGCTTCAGACTGCTCTAAAAATTTTGAAGCAGTTTTTCCCCCTTCACTTGGCTCCATGTGATGTCAAAAAGAGCAGATATCCTTAATGTGGTCATCTAAGCCCCGCAGTTCCTGTTGTGAGCACACAAGTCCCACCCACCCGCTTCCTGAGTGAGGGGCAGCCAGTCAGAAGAAAGATGCCCTAAAGAGTTGAGGAGCTAAAAGGTCTTTTGTCAGGCCGAGGATAACTGAGGTCCTGTAAGGTAAAAAAAAAAAGAAAAAAAAAAGAAAAAAGAAAAGCCAAGCTACTCTAGTAGAGTCCAAGATTTTTTAAAAAAAAAAGCTTGACGAATAATAGCTCCCTTTAATGACACTGCACTCTGGTGGAAAGTTTTAAAGTCTGTCACCCTTTTCACCACACTTGGCATCACTGTGAATTATGCACCACGAAGACTGCAAGACAAGAAACTAAGCCAGGAGAAAACAGGCTTTCCAGTTGCTGTTAAATTGTTTCTTTTTCTGGCATATCCATACCTTGGCATCATTTTGATAATAGAAACAGACAAAAACAGTAACTAACTAACTAAAAAGAGTCGATACGGACATTAAGATCCAACTTTTAACTGTAACTACTTATATGCAAGCATTAATAAGTATATGTTAATGAGAGGGGTTTTGGGAAACTTGTAATGTGTAATGTGTAATGTGGTAATAAGTTATGAGAATCTGAATCAGATTACTTTGTTAATTCTGATTCTGATTAATTATAGAATTTTAATAATCTTAACAACAACAAAAAATATTCTCCTGAAAATAATCCGGTACAAGGACTGGAATGAAAATGGGTAAAAAACCCCAAAAAAACAGCTAATTCCAAAGGGGGGAAAAAAGACCTTCAGGAACCTGGAGAACTACTTCTCAAGACCTCTTTTTAAAAAATTACAAGAAAGCCTCATAATGAGGGGTGACATATAGTATGTGAGAGCAACTGAAGAAGTCTGTAAAGCTGGAAATCAGGAGTCACTCAGAAACTCAATGACACCAAAAATAAGTGAAACGGCACTCAGAGAAAACATCCTCTACCAAGGTCGAGAGATGCAGCCACATTTTTATGAAGTTTTTTTTTCTTTGCCTCTACCTCTTGAGCAAGTTTAATGAAAAGACTTATGGACTGAGCATGGCAAAGCCAAAAGTAAAGCAATCCTGGGTGGATTTGTCCGTCTGTCTACACATGCTGCGTGGTATTTTGTGTTTCCTCCAAAACTGAGCCAGCATTCACCCGCAGACAGATCTCAGACAGCAGGAGAAATGTTAACGCTACTGTAGGATGGAATAACACCCGACACATAGACACACATGCAGACACACACTCAGCTGTGTAATGTATCTGCAGACAGATACCTCTAATATGTCTGCATTATCTCGCTTGATTTTAATTCTATGTTGAATTATTGAAAATTTGCCAGCTCACAGTAGCTCTCTTTTGGCCCATTCCAGAGGCTGTCACTCAGTAGTCAGTCAGCAAAGGCTTTGTGACTGTGAGCTTCAGGTTTATTGGTTGTAAAGGTCTCTCTGTGGCTGCTTGGAAGGAACTGGGAGCATTCGGCCGCCTGTCTTGGGGCTTGTGAAAGCAGCACAATGAGGGTTCAGTGGGGACTTGCAACGGTTCTACCTGTTTGACCGTGCTTCACGTCAGAGCAGTGGAAAGTTGAGAAAAAATAAGCAATGAGGTAGTTGGTGCCTGACAGATGTGAGTTTGTGATACGAAAGCTCATTTTGTTTGGCTGAAATTGTATCGTGCCTGGCTTTTCTAACCTAAAAAGTATATA